TGGAAAAGTCAATCGGAAGTTGACTATATAGTTAGAGGGCTCGGATGTGAATTCCGGTGATTTGGTTAGCTTAGGGGGATAATTTGTGACTTAGGAGTGCGATCGGAATTGAATTTGGAGGTCCGGTGTGGAATTAGGCTTGAATTTGGGAAGGTTGAATTTTGGCGAATTCCGGTTGGTAGGTGAGATTTTGATCCGGGGGTCGGAATGGAATTCCGAGAGTTGCAGTAGCTTCGTCAGGTGATTTTGGATGTGCGGGTAAAATTTCAGGTCATTTGGACGTCGTTTGGTTGGGTTTTTGATCGAATGTGAGTTCTGGAAGAATTTGATAAACTTAGGCTTGAATCCGTGGTGAATTGATAATTTTTGTGTTGGTGGACGTGTTTTGATGATTGGAACGAGTTCGTATGATGTTTTGGGGTAGGTTGGTGTTTTTGGTCGAGGTCCCGGGGGCCTCGGGGTGATTTCGGATGATTAAACGGGAAGTTTGGATTTAAGTTTTGCTGCAGAAAATTCACAGCAGGTGCAGCCCAGATTTGGTCATCGCGTTCGCAGGGGTAGAACGCGTTCGCGGAGAGATGGGTTGCCAGTAATCGCGTTCTCGTGGGTGTCATCGCATTCGCGTAGAAGGGGCCAGGGGCCCTGCCTAAGTTGTTCAATGCGTTCGCGAGGGGCCGACCGCGTTCGCGTAAGAGGAGTGGTTTGTGAAACGCGTTCGCGTGGAGTAGGACGCGTTCGCGTAGTTATAAGTCCTGGAACATTGCGATCGCGGGTTGGGTACCGCGTTCGCGTAGAGTAATTTTCGGTCAAAGTAATTTTCTTCATCGCGAACGCGGAGGTTTGACCGCGTTCGCATAGAGTAAATAACTGCTGGTCAGTAGGGCTTTTAAATCATTTTGTTCCGCGAAGGTTAGCCATTTTCCACCATTTTTGAACCACCTTGAGAGCTTTTGGTAGAGTTTGAAGGGGATTTTGACGGGAATTGATTGGAGGTAAGTCTCGCGACTTAGAAACATCATTTTGTTGGAGAATCAACCTTTAATTCTTAGAAACTTGGATAAAAATTGGAAGAACTAGGGCTTAGTTTTTGGAATGAAAAATTGGAATTTGAAGAGGCATTTGAACTCCGATTTTGATGAATTTGATATGTATAGACTCGTGGCGAGACGAGGAATCCGGTGATGTAAATTTCGTAATTTTTCGAGAAGTGGGCCCGGGGCTCGAGTTTTGCCAACTTCGTGATTTTAGATATTTTTCGAGTCTTTTCGATTGGGTTATGACCCATTTGACTATTGTGATGTATTCCTTGTGGTTTTGATCAGATTCGACGCGCGAGGAGGTCGATTCGAGGGGAAAAGGCATAGCGAACTAGACTTTTGGCCGGCTAGAGGTGAGTAATGATTTTAAATGATGTTCTGAGGGTTTGAAAACCCCGGACTTGCACAACTTGGTGCTATGTTGAGATGAGACACGCGCTCCATGATGAGCGCGGGGTCATTTACTATTGGGGACTGTGACTTGGTCCAGTCCGGATGATATTTTACCGCGTATTAGCAATAACTTGTTGTTTTCACTATGATTTGGGCTTATTGCCATATTTGGGGCTTATTGCCGACTATTTGAACTCGTTATGAACTATCATCACTGTTTTTCTCACGGTTTGAAATATTATTTGAACTCAGTCCATGTGATTCACACTATTTCTTGAACTCAGCCATATTTACTCAAACTTTGAGTTTTAAACTGATATTTGAACTATTGTTTGAGCTGAGTATTATTGCTTTACTGTTGCCCGAGGGGCTGTTGATTATTTTTGGACTGATTGAGGCCGAGGGCCATATGTGAGGATATGCAAAGTGACGTGAGGAGGCTTTCAGGCCTCGAGTGCATTGTGAGGAGGCTTTCAGGCCTCGAGTATATTGTGAGCAGGCTTTCAGGCCTCGTATTGATATTGTTCAGGCTTTCAGGCCTTGTTGATAGCGCTTGGGCTGTAGGAGCCCCTCCGGAGTCTGCACACCCACAGTGAGCGCGGGTACCCATCTAGAGTGATTAAATATTGAACAGTGGTAACAATGACACTGTTATACGTGTTTGGTCAGGTAACAATGGCTGACCATACTTGAGCATACTTGTTTTATTGATTGTTTTCAAAATGATTTTTCTTACTATAATTCACTGGTTTCTACTGTTTATCTGATGTTGCTGCTTGAGATAACATTATTTGTGCCCTTGTGGGATTTTATGTTCTCAGTCGTTATTTATTTTTATTACTCACTGGGTCGGAGTACTCACATTACTTCCTGCACCATGTGTTCAGAGACAGGCATAGCTGAGTTCGTACCTGAGCGCTGATTTCCTTCCAGACCAGGCGGACTAGGAGGGGCGAGGTAGCTGTCGACGTCCACAGCCCCGTTTCTTCCTTATCTTTTGCATATTTTTAATCATCTTTAGACTATGTTTTCAGACTTGTAGTAGTTCCATCAACTCCGTAGTAGCTCGTGACTTGTGATACCCCGATCATCGGACTGAGTTTGGGATAGTTTTTTCCCGTTATGTTATGTTTATTTCCGCACTTGTGATTAATCAGTATCTATGGTTTAAACCTGTTTTATGCTAAGAAATTATTAAAAGCAGTGTTGATTGTTCATGTTGGCTGACCTTGTCTTCACGAGAGGCGCCATCACGACCGGGTGAGAATTTGGTCGTGACAAATATCGTGTTCAAAAGGACTTTATCTAGAGGATTATATTACTACTTTATCTGCAATTTATGTGATATCAATATTTTCTTCATTCTTAACAAGAATTATGCCTTTTTATATTTTTAATAAAACAATTTATAGTCACACAACTATTTATATGTTATTTTGTAAGTTTTAATTCCTCTTCCCCCCCTCCCCTCTTTTAAATCCATACACAATCACAATACATCACATAAAATAAAACGATATAAATAATATTCCATATGTTTCAATTTAGATGACATACTTTTCTAATTAATCCATTCAAAAAAAAAAATGACACAATTCTACAATCTGAAATAATTCAACTTTTAACTCTTCATTTTACCTTTAATGAGAAGGTTTTATAACCACACAAATGTCATGTCCCCACAAAACTTTTACCCCTTAAGTTTTTAAGACCATAAGTTTCAAAATCTCTTTTTTATTCGTAAACTTCGTGCCGAGTCAAACAACATCGTTTAAATTAAACGGAGGGACTAATTGGCTACTCGTTAGATCGAACTAGTGGTGGGAAAATGGTTAAAAGAAAATAGTTAACCACCCATATTATACACTAAAAATGGGTTGGATAATGAACTTTTTAAAAACAGATCAAATATGGATAAGAACCATATTAACCATTTAGAAAATGGATAACCAATGGGTTAAACTTTTACATTTGTAAAGCCTCAAATTGGGGGTTTCTCAAGTTAGGGAGACTAAGAATTCTCCCAAAAATGATCATATACAAGAAGTCATGGATAATATGGTTACCCATATTTCCGCTGGTTAACCCATTTTTTATTCGTATTAAATATGGATCGGGTCGAATAATTTATCCATTTTTGTTGGGACCAAACACACACGCAAGTATACGTGGTTGTCAAGTAATAAAGTGACTAGAAGTCGGATGTCGAACCCACAGAGACTTAGATTGATCGTTAACTAAGCGAACTAAATTCAATACTTGTACAAGATATTTAAGAGTGATATTTTTCTATTAATCTACTATTGCAAAAATTAAACAAATAACACTAAATTATCAAGAATGCAATTTTGTATGACGAGATTTTACTTCAGAGGAGATGGAAATTCTAGGGTTGTGGTTGGTTTATCAATCCTATTAAGTTCAATAATCACAGTCGTTAATCCAGATTATCTATGGTTGCTAATTAATCGGATATTTTATATGAATAGCATGTTCCCACAATACTACTCGCCTGCCCACAATATATCAACCCTATATTCCTATGGTATTGAGTCTATCATGAACGAATATAATACGATATTCAATTAAGCAATATTGTTAGGTATATTCCTATCCTAACCGCGAAATCTTCCCCCGAGCCACAGGTTCAGAAACAAGCTCTCTCTAATTCTACTCTAATCTAAACACGGCTTTCCCAAGCATAACATAGATAGTAAATCCCTCAAGAAAACTGTCTAGGAGATCCATCGTCGGGAAGAGTTCAATTTTTCTATTTGTTTTTTGAATTTTTTTTCCTACTAAAATACTGCACAACTACTAAATCACAAATAAGAAATTAACATTTTTCTACATCCTACTACTAGTCATCTAGAGAATTCTTCTACCCCACACTTAAAAGAGTGCAGCACCAATGCACAAACAAAGCAAAATAATAACAAGGGTGGACAAAAAACTCCCTGAAACGCTAAAGGCCGAAGCAATAGCAGCTCACGGGTACTCAAACTTCCCCCCAGGCATAGTCCTTTGTGTGGCACCCCACACTTAGTTCTCACCATCTAACTTGCTTTTGCACTCTTCCAATGACTTTGTCTCCTATGTTTATAATCCTACCAAACAAAAACAAATACTTCAACAATAAAAGAACAAAATAAAAATAAAAGAAAACTGTAAAAATGGGTTGCCTCCCAACAAGCGCCTGATTTAACGTCACGGCACGACACTACTACTCTGCTCAGGCCGGGTGCTTTCTCTTCTTCTTTTTCCCATTAAGCCTAGCCTTTTTACACTCTCTCATAACATCTCCTCTTTCATCTCTGGCTCTTTTCTCAATCATCCTTACACACTCAGCTTGCAACACCACCTCATCCAACTCAGTCGTCCTATCCAAATTACTATAATTCACATCAGGACTTTGGTCTATCCCATTCAGTTCTACCGTAGTAATCATGCACAAGTCCTCATAATGCTTAGGGAGCTTAAGTGCCTTGTACACATTTAAAGTAATTTCCTCATTGCCAACTCTCATCTTCAACTTTCATTCCTTAACATCAATAAGCGCTTCACCAGTAGCTAAGAATGGTCGCCCCAAAATAGTGGGTACTTCCTGATCTGCCTCGTAATCAAGAACAATAAATCAGCAGGAAGAATAAACTTTCCCACTCGAACTAACACATCGTCGATAATTCCTTCTGGTATAACTAGTGACTTATCTGCCAACCGTAAAGTGATTGTAGTAGGTCTAAGCACCCCCAATCCGAGTTGCTTGAACAAAGAGGATGGCATCAAATTTATACTAGCCCCTAAATCACACAGGGATCTACCAACTTCTTGTTTTCCAAGAGACAGAGGAATTGTGAAACACCCAGGATCCTTCAACTTAGGAGGAAGTTTACTCTGAACTCTAGCACTACACTCTTCAGTAAGTGAAACTGTTTCAAACTCCGTATGTCTTCGCTCGTTTGCCATAATATCCCCGAGATACCTTGCATACTTAGGCACTTCCTGCAGAATTTCCACCAAAGATAAATTCACATGCACTTGGCTCAAAATATCTAAGAATTTCTTGTACATAGCATTATTTTTTTTTGTTTTTGCAGTCTTTGTGGATAAGAATGTGGTGGCCTTGTCACAATTTCTGGATTTTCTTTCTTATTCTCCTCAGTGAGCTTAGGAACTAATGCTCCGTCGGGTCTAGTTGTATACTTCTTTTTCTCTGGAACTTCTTCTAATTCTCTTCCATTTCTCAAGGTAACCGCATTGACTTGAGCCTTAGGATTAGGTTCAGTATCACTCGGGAGAGCTCCAGCAGGTTTAGTATTCTGATTGTTAGCCATTTGCCCAAACTGCCTCTCCATATTTCTAAACTCTGTGCGCAATTGTTGATTCTCAGCCATAACTTTCTGATTGTCTATCAACAGCTTTTTCATCATGTCGGTCAAACTCTCCTCTGCTTGCTGTGGAGGTTGAGGTGGATGATTGTAATTTGCTTGAGGCCTGATATTCTGATTTCCGCCCCAAGAGAAGTTAGGATTATTCCTCCAGTTCAGATTGTATGTGTTACCACATTGAGCATGTTGATTCATCGGCCCTCTAGCTTGTTGCCCCACGTAGTAGATTGATTCAGGATTCACGGGACATATGTCACTTATGTGACCTTCACCATATAACTCGCAGCAAGTAGAAATCTGTTGCACACGTTGCATCTGTTGTGCATGGTGCATTGTCATTTTATTCATCTGATTTGCTAATCACGCTATTTCTGCCCTCATTGCTGAGAAGTCATCAAACTCGATCACACCTGCTGCCTTTTGTTTAAGTTCTCTTCGTGGTTCCCCTTCTCCTTGCCAATTGTTATCATTAGCAGTGAAATTGTTTAGAGGGATCTGGATTTCATTATGCGGTCTTGCCATGCAACTACCCCCACATGCTGAGTCAAGATTCATCTTTGATGCCTCGTCCAACCCATCAACGAAAGTGTGACCCAACACCTCATCTGTCTGACAATGGTGTGGGCAGTCTTTGAGTAGCTTCTTGTACCTTTCCCAAGCTTGTCGGAAAGTCTCACCATCTCGTTGTTGAAACCCCAGAATCTGGCTCCTTAGTGTCGTTGTCTTCTCCCTGGGAAAAAACTTGATTAAGAATTTTCTTGCTAGATCATCCAACCTGTGGCTTGAGTTCGCGGGCTCCTTTTGCAACCATTCCTTAGCTTCTCCTAGCAATGAAAAGGGAAACAATGTCAGCCAGACATAGTGTCGCGCCCCCTTTTTCTCGCGAAATCGGGTTTATTACATTTTGGTATAAGACAACTCGTTCTTTTTGGGAACTGGGTTTTGCATTTTCGAAGAGTCGCCACCTAATGATTTATGGTGCATTAGGACACCTTCAAGGTTCATTTCTAAGTTTGCTTGATAACCAGAGATAGGGTAAGGGCTTGAAATTATCCTAAGGGGAAGGTGTTAGGCACCTCTCAAGATCCACTAGTGTGGTTCCCGGCCAGATAGCTCTTTGTGAATTTGGTTCAATTAACATATAAACAGATAAGGCTCAAATAAGAGGATATTTAATAAACAATCGTTTGAAAGTAAACAAAGTATGAAAAAGCAATTAAAGCTAATTTTAAACAAGGAGCTGCAATACTTTTAAAAGAGAAGGGAAATAAAGGAAGGGGGGGGGGGTCCTAGGTTTATTTAAAATATGGATCACATCAATGCAATACCCGGTAATCACTCCTCAGAAGAGAGGCTACACGTGGTATTAGCGCACCGATCATCATATCCATATCTACCCTTTCCCACCCCGTTTGAGGTACTAAAGCGCGGATTGGTCCCGACCACTATTGCATGCTATTACCCGCCCCACTCCTATCAGTCCCGGAGGCACTTAGGACTACTAATCCTAAAAGGGAGGGATATTAGGCTGACTTGAAGTTTCAAAGGTAAAAATCTAAAGCGACATACAAAACATATAAAAGACTTCACATTCAAGGGGGAAGCACATAAACACATAAGGCTCAAGTATACCTCTTCAAACAAAATAATCCAATAGCATGACTTAGACAAACAAGTAAGGTTTGATTCTAAGAATACTTGAGGGAAGAGGAGATTATTGTTGTTACAGCAGGCTTGTTCTATTACATGACTCAGTTAGGAAACACGAATCAGGCCTGCCTGCTGGCTGTAGCACTTAAACAAATAACTGAGGCGAGTTCAGTTTTATTATTACTACCTAAGGCTTGCCTAAGTGTTTTAGGGGAACTCTTAGGGACATGCATCTATTACTGATTCTGAGCATGGTCACAACTTAAAATGAATGGATTGAAATCCTATAGGCTTGCTTGCTAAATCGAGTTAACAAGGAGAGATTAAGTTACTTAAGCACTGGTTCAGAATAGACTGATTTTAAATTAGACTAGTTTCAATTTTTTTTTGCAGATGATAGGATCCATTATTGCGGGTTTTAACTCCTATAGACATGATATCTAGTGTGCCTATTTTAATTGAACATGGTACTAATTTATAGCCATTTAAATCCTAGAACATGATGTCTAAGTGGTACCAAGCGTGCAGAATTCAAAATGAAGTCCTATAGGTAGGTTATCTAGGTGTGAAGTTGAACATGCAGAATTTTACATAAATAAACCTCTATAGACATGGTGTCTAAGGTGCAGAATTGAACACGCAGGGTGTAAGACAGTCCTATAGGCATGCTTTCTAAATGTAGTTTGAAGATGCAGAATTAGAATACCCTATAGGCATGGTTTCTAAATGCAGTTTGAATATGCAGGATTTAAAGTAGTCCTATAGGCATATTTTCTAAATGCAGTTTTTGAAGATACATAATTGAAATACCCTATAGGCATGGTTTCTAAACGCAGTTTGAATATGTAGAATTTAAAAGTAATCCTATAGGCATATTTTCTACCCTTGAACATGCATAATTACCCACCCTTTTTCACTATCCATCCCCGCTGTTTATTACAAATTATTAGAAACCAGAGGTATTGAATTACATCAGAAAAATACATAAAATACAACTAGAGGAAGCCTGATTCTTGGTTCCTCCCCGAGCTATGGAATAAACAGCCTTAAGATGTCATTGCTTCAAAGCCTTTCTCAAACTTGAGTGTGTTAAAGTTCCCTAAGGGTCTCAAAAGGACCCCGGGCAATGCTCACACCCAAGTTGCATTAATCAGATAGAGATGAGTGCAGTGTGGAAAAGGCCAACCCTTATGTGTCCAAGTTCAGAGGGAGCTCATGGGTCCCAAGGCAAGGCTCACATAAGAGGGGCAGAACTTAAGTCTAAAAAGATAGTGGAAGTGCAGGAATAGAGTTTTAAAACTGAGGGGGAAACGAGAGGGGTAAAAGGTGATTGGAAAATAGTATTTAGTAAAACACAAAATTGATAAACTTCATACAAAGAGGGTCAGGGGTTGGGAATTCATTGCAAGGAGCCTATGTACTTAGGAAAGGGTCAGCTTCGGGCATGCACAACAATAGAAGATGCTGGCATGCCTATGAGCCTCCCAGAATACACAACAAACAGAGGAAACATGGAGGTTATGATCCCAGGGGGATCAAGTTTAGGTCATGGACAACAATGTTTAATGTTGCCATGCCCCATACCAATCACAGTTGCCAAACATATTGGGGATGGGGATTTAAGGTGCACAAGCCATGATAAGTAAATAACAAAACCATTAATTCAAAACAGAAAAGGTAGAATACAGCATGCTTAATGATGGAAATTTGTTAAATACTAACAGGAGACAAACAAGAATGAAAGAAACAGTAAAGAAACATGTTATTGTTGATGCTGAAAACTTAGTTAGAACATACCAGTCAGAGAAGCAAAGTGCAGTAAAGAATAGTAAGCAGGACTTCAAAGTATAGCCTTGGCTTTCAGTCGGCTAAACATGCAGTAGCATAAGTAGTAGTAAAGCAAGAGAGTGTTTTTGAGTGTAAGTGTGTGTTCAGAACTAAAAGTGTTCGTGTTTGAAAGAAGAGAAGTACATGGTATTTATAGCCTTTTGAAAATGAGTGAAAGAGAAATAATAAGCCACAAACATGGAAACAATCACTACTCAGAATCAATTATACGAGTGATTGCCTTTAATTAAGGGATCACTCGCTTAACGGGTAATGACTGGCTCATAATAAGGAAAGAAATCAATTTGTAAGCAAACTAACAGTTGCCATAAAAGAAGCAGTAAAACAATTGAGTAAGTAATCAAGTCTAAGTACAGGAATATACTAATTTTGGGAAGGGATTCAGTAAGACAAGGAAAAGAATCAATTAAACTTAACAGACGAGTGAAATTAGAATTTCACAAAAAGAAAGGTTTGAAATCAGTCCAAGATTGAAGATCAGTCAAGAGGGAAATTCAACAAATAAATAGAGTGCACAAATATTAGACATGCGAGGCCAAACTATCGCAAAGAGAAGCAGCATGCAATAACAACACAAAGTTAGCAGACAGCAAACCTTCGAAACATGCTAGTCACATCAGTCAACTTCATTGACTTAGTAATAGAGAAACGAGAGAGTATCAGAAGCATGCAAAGGGTCAAGTGAAAGACCCTTCTGAAAAAGTATAGTCGAGTTTCAATGGTAGCAAGAAACCAGAATCACATAAAAAAATAGATGCTGAAACAAAAGAATTTCAAATCAAGTCGAGCAACTTCAAATAGATGAATTGCACAGGCATTTTTAGAAACTCGAATAGACCCCAAAGAAATTAGGGTTTTGAAACCAATCGAGTCTAGAGATGATGAACAAGTAAATCAAACAAATAAATAGTCCTAGGAACTTGAATAAACCCAAAAATTGGGGTTTTCAACACCAATCGAGCCTAGAGATAATAAACAAGTAAATCAAATAGATAAATACAAATGGACTAAGAAAACTCAGAAGACCATAGGGTTTTTATCATGCAAACTCAGAGAGGGGAACAATACGAGCAAACATAGCAGAACATGTCAAAAAATCAGAGATAGTTTCGAAATAACTTAACAAGAAAACCCTAAAAGATAAAGAGTTTTTGAAGCAGAATCTTAAAAGAAACTTCGAGAAAAACATTTAGAAGTTCAAAGCAAACATAAACCTGAAGCAGATCTAAAAGAAATTGAAAGAACCTTAGAGCTTAGGGTTTCAGAAGAACCCCAAATGATGAGAAAGGCGTCGAAAGCCATTGATCTAAGCAGAAGAGTCAAACGTCTGACTCGAACGGTCATAGCTGGCCGGAGAAACGCCATAGATAACCGGAGAACAGCCATGAACCAAAATCGGCCAAAGGCTGGACCAGAGTTCTTCATGGTCTGGCCTTGAAATCATAAGAACAAACACAAAGGGGCCATGGAAGGCCGGCATAAGTCTCCGATGACCTTTGAAGGCCATAGGTTAGGGCAGATTGGGGTGGCGACGGCTAGATTTGAGGGTGGTGTAGAGAGGATTTGGGAGACGACGGGAATTCAGGGGCAGCGGATTATGAAGAATAAAAAGGGTTTGGGGGGGTCTTTGGGTTTAATTAGGAAAGGAGTAATGGTGGCCGTTGATCATTTTGATCCACGACCTGGATTGAACGGGTAAGTGGGGCGGTTTAATAGAATAGGGGTTTGGGTCGGTTCAGATTGCAATTGGGTCGGGGTAATTGGGATTCAAATTGGGGTCTAATTGGGGCTTCAAAATCAGGCTATAATCGAAATAGAATGGGGCTAACATTTAAATAGCC